TATGTCTCAGCTGAATCTTTAAGGGCACTTCCAGGTCCAGCAATGTTTGTGTTTTTCTGACCTCAGAGCCCTGACATTTGGAGGGTTATAATTCTTAGACTAAAGAAGCCATGCATATGCATCAGTTCTAAAGATTTAATTGATCAGAGAGCACAACCTTTCCTCCAAACTGCAGGAAAAAGGTACCTCTGCTGTGGGGTCTGGACTGTCCTGTGAACAGGATTTCCCTTGTGAATTTTTCAGAAGCAGGTAATAAGAGGCCCAAGAAGATATAAAAAATATAGCAGAATACTTTAAGAAAGGATAATAAACCAAAATTTAAAAGGTGAACCTGAATGAGTACCAGGGCCTCTCACCAAACACAAGGACTGTAAAAAGTAGAAAAAGACACCTTGAAAAGCTCAGCACAACAGAGGTAGTTTTACCTGAGGTGAAGACTTTTTCTGAGTCCTGCTTGATAGGGTAAAATTGTCTACAATTTCTCATTTTGTTGACATTTTATTCCTTTCAAACCAGAGGGAAACCTCTGGACTTTGGTATCTGATATCTAAACACCATATTTGTTGCAGGGAAACAGTCAAATACAGAGGAAAGCTGAAGAAGCCACTTCCAGAAGTTGGTGTCCAATCAGGGAAACCACTACTACAATTTTATCAGTGGTTTAGACAGAAATCACACTTGGCCTGGTAACATCCAAGTTAGTTGTTACATTTTGGGTACAATTGATATTATCCATCCTGCATCCCGGAGAACAGCCAAGCTCTCTGTGAGTCGCTAGAGCTGCTCTCACAGCTTACTGCACCTGTAACCACCACACACCAGCAAACCCCTAAGCCTGCTGGCTTAAACTGAGGGGATCATAAGCTGCAAAGCACTTCAGAAGTTTTGACAAAAGAGATTATGATTTCTAAACCCCATAAGCACAAAAAGGTAGATTGCATTCTCAGGGTCAAATGGCTTCCAGTGCCAGGACTTACATACCCCATTGCCAACCAGATGGGCAGATGCAAACTGCATCCTCATGATCCATCACATAACCCTTGCTACATCATCTCTGCAATATTTATAAAGTTAATGAGCATTATGTCGGTGAATTACAGCTTCATGCCACTTTCTCTTAGATTGCACGTTTCCTGGAGGAATGGGTCTTTGATTTTCAAGCTCCCTTACATTCCAGCACAGCAGCCTGCTGGGGATTTATGGGCATTTCATGGGTGTTTAATGAGGCTTACACTGTAACCAATCTAAACAGCTCTTGATCATGGCATTCTGAAGCACATCCAGTAAAGCTGATGGAGCCTGAGACACCTTGAGAGAAATACTGAATGAATCAGAACAATCAGCTTGCCCTGTTCCTCTGTTCCTGCTTTGCTGGTGAATACCAGACACATATATACACAGAATAAACACTCCCTGGTTTATTTCTGGTTGGTTCAGATTTACAATGAATTCAGGGTGGGCAGTACTCACTGATACATTTCTGTACATGTTTAAACATATAGATCAACTTTATTATCTGTCAACTTGTAATCTAAAACTCTGATTTTAAAGAAAAAGTAGAGCATAACAAAGACCTGAAAGCAACATTTTAAGATGGTATTTTAAGAGTTGTCACTATTTAATGACATTCTGAAGGGCAAAACTCTCACTCCTGGAAGGTATTAGAATGCCTAAATATCTTTGAGCATCTAGGTGCCCCCAAAAGAGTTTATATTTGCAAAGGAAGCTATTAAGGTAATGTAATTTAATATACAGCATTTGAAAGAGAGGTAAGTTAGAGTTACACGTACATGCAGCCTTAAATCTGATGTAGTCCATATCTTGCACCTAACACATATAACATCCTTAAACATTTTGAACAAGGTTTTCCTAAAGTTGATAATTAGAATGAAACACTTATCTAGAAAGCTTTCTGCTTCAAAATCAGATACCCACAAGCTCCTGAAAAAGGAAATGAGGCAGAAAGGAAAGAAACGTATGTGTGATACTCTCACTTACAACAAAAACTAACAGCAACTTTTGCTCTTTCAAGGATCCATGCTATTACAAGTGCTTATTCAGATACATCCTATGTGTAAAATAAACCTTCATGAGTTTAAAATTAATTTAATTTTCACAAATATTCTTGTGTACAGATGTGCCTCTGCCAGGTTTTACAATCTAAACTGGAATATTCTGGAGCCTAATTTTCCCTTCACAGCAGGAGTGGTGCTGCTGATTATCAGATCTTTTTCAAGCTCAAATCTACATATGTGATTGACCTACAAAGTCTCTTTTGTATCAAAAAACATTTTTGAACTGTAAACACTTGAAGAATTCTGCTGCTGCTTGCTGTGCCCTTCTTATGCTAACCTTTGCTGCTGGTGAAGTTGGGATCATGCTAACAAGGGGCAACTACCCTGGAAAGGGGCAGGAGGCAGCAGGCTCACTGGAGAAAGCACCATTTTGTACTTCTGCTTCTTCCTAAACATTACCAGATAGCCACAGCCAAGTCAGGCTCCCAGGGCAGGAAATCCCTCAACAGGACCTACTATGGTTGTTCCTCAGAGCAAGTACCATCACTCCTGAAAGTCTCTTAATTACCCATGTTTTATTTCTTCAGATGAATCCAGGAAAGAAATTAGCTTTGCTATCCCATCTTTTTTTTTTTTTTTTCCTTCTGACTTCTCCGTTCGCATGCTTTGCAAATTTGTTGCACTATAGAAAATAACTGCTATAACATTTAGGGCTGTCTGGCCATATTCAATGGAATTGGCATGGAGAGCTCTGTCTTTCCTGCTCCACGTGGTACTTGTGTGGAGCACAGGTCAGAAAGAAAAATCATCAGAAATTTGTCTTGTAGCGTGTCTTTGTCAGCAGATGCTGAACGCAGTGCTAACATGTACCTGTAGCTTTGCTCCCACTGCTTGACAGGGTAATAAACACTTCACATTGGAGTGACTTCCAGTCTTTTTGAGTGTAGGTAGTCAGCAATAATTCAGCACTCTCACTTAAAAGATGAAATTAAGCTGTCAGAAATATTATCTCTGTGCCAAAAGTTATATGGAAGCTTACTGACAGCAATCCTCGTTGTTGCTCATCTCACTCACCCTGTTGCCATTGGGGTTCTGTCTTTATTTTTGTACTTTGAGTTAAACAGCTGTCAATTTAAACTTATCTGTAGAAACTGGTGCAGACAAATTAGTTCCTATCCCTGTGCTGGTTATCTTGAGATTAATGGGGAATCCAGAGCTAGCAGTCAGAGAGGTAAGTAGTCTGAATGGGAAAGAAATGCAATCCACCAAAATCACAAAGTAGCCTCAATTTTTGGATCTTGCGACCCACACTCAAAAAGACAATAAATAGCCTGTTTGTGCTATAAAGAGCTACAGAACTGCAAAGAGGTTCTTGTTCTTGACAGAATAGAAACTTAATGGAACACTTTGGGTACTTTAAACTTGCAATCTAAATTTTGGCATTTCCTGAAATACTACCACAATAAAGGATTTTTCTTTTACAGTGGAATCAAATTTTACATATTTCACCATCAAACATTAAGTAATAGTAAAGTGTTTGGGGATGCAAAAAAAAAAACCCATCCCCTTTGCCAAAGCTCTTCCTGCTAAACACTCCTCAGAGTTACACAGAAAAAGAGGGAATATCCAGCTTTCCCATTTGGTAAAAAACCCTCTGTATTGTCAAAAGAAACAGGAATAAGTTTCTGGTATATGCTGATGTCTGAGGGGTTACACAGACCTTGCTCAGACACCATCAGAAGAAGATGTTCCCCAGTGGGGAAGACTCTGACAGCTGAGTTCAGCCCAGTTTGGGGCACTTCACGGTCCTGCTCTTGGTTGAGAAGTCAGAGAATCACTCTGCCATACACGTGATGGACACAGGCCTGACCTATTGCTTTGCATGTCTTATGTCCAGTACTGTCTAAGTGCTTATTTAGCCTGGGCTGTTCTGCTAGAACAAACATTCTCGTCTAGATTCCAAACAAAAAGATAAGCACGCCAGCATTGCTTCAAACTCCTGTTTCCCTGAAAAGGCTTTCTTAGGGGAAAGGACTGTCTAAAGGCCTGGTGTGCCTTTGCTTGCAATTATTGGAAGCTTTATTCATGTTTTGGTTCCCCAAAGCAAGGCATGCTAAAGAAATCTGGGTTTTTAAGTGATCAGAACTATCTGGTCACTTAATGATTATTCTTTGCATTAGGACAGAAATTTAGACACTACACTGCATTGCACAAACCCACACTGTCCAAGATAAAGCAAAATATCTGCTCCAGACAAAATGAATGCTCTCCTCTTTATCTGCAAGAAGTGTCAGGCTTTTGAGGGAAAGATCAGAACAGTGCTAGGTCAGGAAAACAAGATGACTGCATCCTCCATACTCTGTGGAGGAACAAGCAGTAAGGACTTCAGCTGAGACTGAACTTACTCTCTTTGCTTTTCAGTCCTGGGCTTGACTACAAATTTCTATTTTGTCTGTAGCAGGCAGTGGCCCCAGAAGAGAATGATCAGCTTTAAACATCAGTCCCTTGGCCCTAGCCTCCTACAGCCCATGAGCTAGGAAACAGCAAGATCTAAACAGTCTCAGAACCACTCCTCACACTTGAAAACGCGTTCCCATGGTTTTTCAGGCACATAGTGAGACCCACCAGCTGGGAAGGCCATTCTGCCCAGCAGGAGCCAGGTTTACTTCAGCAACATAAAGATAGTGACACTTCAATACAAATTAATATATACCAAATAGAAGTTCTAAAGATAACACCGAGAAAATAAAGCATGCATGCATCTGGGAAGCTGTAAACCTGTTTTCCTGCTCCCACACTGTATAGGTAGCATATTTTTGTTTAAAAGTTCTTTTCACCTAAAGTAAGGCAGAATTTTGGAGGATGGTAGGGACATATTTATGCATTCATATACTGCAAGGCAGCAACAATGTAAAAAATAGCAAGAAAAATAAATTACTACCTAGCACAGAAAGAGAAACTGCAGCCACTGTCTCAAATCCTTACCTTTCAGAGTTGCCTTCTTAAGTACCTTCATGGCATAAAGCTGGCCTGCATCAGATCCTTTTATCTTCCTGACTAGAAATACCTGTAAAAAGCAAATGTTTTGTATAGATGAGTACTGAATTTCTACTTACAAGACTTACTGCATTCAGCAGGAGAATAGATCCTGTGGTTCAGGAAATCTAATGAAAATTACTAGCTGAAAGCATTTCATGTCTATTTCACCTGCAATTGGTTGAGCTAGCTCTGGAAATTTTCAGTTTTAAGCCTTTACCACCTCACAAAAAATACATTTTCAATATTATTAATTGACATCAGTTATATATAGTCAGTCATATATATTCAGTTAAAGATAAGTGAAAAGTTAGAATCAGTGTGCACATATCTCTTCACACTCTGACCAGCTTTATATGAAAAAAAAATTATGTCTCATATGTGTCTAGGAATGTGCAGTGTCTTAAAATTATTTCCATCAATTAAATTAAAGAAAAAAGTCAATTTGGTGCCATTCATGCTATAACTCATGAATAGCAACTTGCCGAAGATGCAGCTGAAGCAGAAAGTTCATACAGCTGAAAATCTGTTGTTATTATAAAATAAAGGACAATTTTTCCTGTTACAGTCTCCTATGCTTCATCTTCTGACAGTGTAAAATTTTAATTAAAGTAAAATAAAATAAAATAAAATAAAATAAAATAAAATAAAATAAAATAAAATAAAATAAAATAAAATAAAATAAAATAAAATAAAATAAAATAAAATAAAATAAAATAAAATAAAATTTGTAGCTAAACTTGTACTCTTTTTATTGTGTTACATGCAAATGTTTCTTATCTGCCCCTCAGTCCATCTGAGCACTAGAGGGGTAGTGAACAATGGGATCACTGGTTCAATTTGGTTTTTATAAGACTTTTAGTGTTTTAATAATTGCAAATAAAATAAACAACTCTTTTAGCTGGTTCTCAGGACACTCTCTGTCTGCTGAGGTCAGAAGTACCAGGCAACAGTTATTTTTATTTCAGCACTAGTGGTACTGGACAGAAGCTGAAGTGAAGCCAAATGTAAAAATAAAAATATAGTCTCACGTCCATACAGTCCCATATACTCATTAATATACAAATTAACAAAGACTAGGTGAAATTATCTAACTAATGAATGTCTATTTGGATTAAAAATTCCATGGCAATTATTTTATTAATTGCCTGTCCAGGAACCTTGCAGCTTTGTTAACTGTCTCCACCTAAAAGATAAAAAGCCAAAAAATAAGGAAGGAGGAAGTATGTTTCCAGCACAATTTTTGCAAGCTGAAAGACTCTTCCTCCTAAAAAACCCCAACCTGTAAACAGATTAGATTTTCTCAGATCCATTTGAGGAAAGGTTTGTGGGAACGGAGAACAAATTTTATCAAGTAGGTACAGAAGCTGGGGGGAAAAAAAAAAAAAAAAAAAAAAGTAAATCCTCTCTGAACAACTTCATCAGAACTCTTACATCTGACAGCATCACAGCTCCAACACTGGTACAACATGGTCTGACAGGGTTTTGGTGAGACTGTCCTTCTCAAGACATTTCCTGTGCAAATGAGATATGCAGAGCTCCTCAGCTGAGCTGCCCCGACCAGCCCAGCCTGGGCACACATTGTTTGCTCCCAGCCCCTGCTTCCTACTCTGATGAACACACAAACACCTCCAGTGCTCACAACTGTAGGAAAAAATGATGAACTCTGGATGCAATAGGTGCACGTAAGACTTTCTGAAGTGTGTTTTTGTTGTTATTCATGGTAAATTGAGCTCAGCTGCTCCAACATTAACAGGAAGTCAATTCATTTAGAAGTTTACAGAGAAAAGTTGGGATATTTTTCTGGCCAGGCCAAGTAGAAGATTTAATTTTTTTATTACACTGAAAAGGAGGAGAAAGTCAAAAGCAAGCTTGTCCAGACACTAGATTTTCAGCTGTAGTATTATTATTTTTAAGAAACATTTATGGGCTCTTTACCCCAAAAAAACCCAAAAACCTAAACCCTTAAGATAATGGTTTTCAGAAGCATTGCCCATAAAACAGCACAGCATACAGGACCTGCAGAAATATAAGGCTGTAGTTCTAGAAATATCTGGTGTGCCATATAATGTAGCAGAACTTGTAATACCCACATTGCTGTAATAAGCAAAATTGTCAATTTACATTACTAGTCACTAGTCAGCTGTTCACTGTAGCACGGGATAGGGCACTTGTCCGCATTCCCTCCAAAAGAGATGAGTCAAGAACACTGTGTTCTATTTCAGAGGACATCAAAATAACCACCAAACCAGAAAGGAACAGAACAAATGAAAATGCACTGTACTGCAAAATGATGTCACCTTTCTGATTATTCTGAAATGCAATGTGACACATCGTTCTTGAAACCACCAACTAGCCCTGAAGTACTTATGTGACAGGTTATATTAGCTGGACGAGACAGGTTTGCCAGAAAAGCATGTGCATGTGGTTGAGCATGACTTTCAATTTTCTAGTTTGATATGTTTGCAAGCACCTCAGGTTATTATCACATGAACTAGCAGAACTCCCTTAGCTGGAGCAATTGGTGCATCACCCAAAACCTGATATAAAAATCTAATCAAGTGCTCTGCACCTCAAGAGTGTTGGGGGCACTCTCTCTTACACCAAAGACATCTCTAATCCTGCAAAATATTATTTAGGCCTTGGGTGAACAACTTGAAAATGTATTGGTTTGCATCCCCAGGGACATAGATTAGAATTATTAGCTCAGATACCAAGGTGATAAAAATGTAGGTGGCTGGGGACTGCATAAGTAAGTCCTTCTCAAGGACCCATAGCAGACCTCTCTTCCCCCCCATGTCTTTGCTGCTCCAGGGAGTTTTCTTCTGTTTCTCACATAAGATATGGAAAGTGATTTGTAATTACATGCAGCTCCAGACAGGTACATTGTCCACACTCACACTCTTATGCCCCAGAAATCAGACTTCCTTTCGGGAAGAGGTTGCAGAGACCAGGCATTTTGCTTATTAAACGCCTAAGGTCAGAAGGCCAACACAAACAATACTGAAAATACATCAATGCAATCTAAGATAACCAACAAACCATTTCTAAAATCTTTACTGCCTATATATGAAAATTGAATATTCTGCCTCTGTAACTTTTATCAAAGATGTTTCTTTCTGTTCTTCCCACACTGAGTCCCACAGTAAACCTAATTTTGAGCTGTTTGCTTTTCCACATTCATTTAATATTTAAAACTTAAATACACTGTGCTCAGAAGAAATTCTCAAGCTCAAGACTTGGTATTGAATGTTAACTTTCTTGATATCTTTCATCTCAGGGAACTTCTAATAGATTTAATCATCAATGTATTCTGGAATAACCAGGAAGTTGATAAATACTCTTAACATAACTTCCTTTAGAAAAAAACTAAAGGTTCTATTTGGCAAATATGTTTTTAAAGCTCTACAAAATAATACACTTATAATCATGAGGACTTCAATGCCTAGTTTCAACTAGGTTCTCTGTTCCAAAGTTTTCAATGTCTTATAGAAAGACTCTAAGGCTGAATTGACTCTTCTTTCTCTCCATCTTTCCTTCCTGTTCTCATTTTCAACCAACATGCCCTGCTGAAGAACTGTCTTTGGAATTAGGAAAATCCTTTGTCTTAAGATATGTTGAGAATGTTATTTTACCACAAGTTAGCTTGTGGTCATACAGGCAGGATATTTTTTTCCCCCCCATGCTCTTGCGATAATAATTATTGTATTCTGCAGTGGGGTTTATCTCCAGGACCTTTCAAGGCCTCTGAGTGTGAACTAAACAGAAGACTAGGACTTGGAAATATGCTTAAGGTTGTCCTCAATGGGAACTGTGCTGCTAACTTCTTTAAGTCTTTCAATATTCCTATTTACATCTTCCAACTAAGCAGCAGTGGCACACTCACCTCCCTGGTGGATGGGTCAGAACCCACTAATATTGTTTATCACTGTTTGTAAACAATGATGCTTACTAACAATCACTTGTGCTCATTAGTCCAGGTCTAGAGACATAGGTGCTATTTCCTAAGCTGGTTCATATGCAGAAATCCAGCTAAAAGACTGAAATGAAATGGAGATAGAAGGGCTTTTCTTATCTGCCTTTACAATATAATATTTATCCAGACAATATCGGCAATGTAAATGAACTCAGAGAAAGGACACAATATTTTCAGTGTTGCTCTGGGTGATTAGATGACAATAAAAATTACCTTTCCATATGAACCTTGTCCTAATACTTTCAACAGTTCAAACTGAGAAGGATCTGCTTTTTCAAAACCTTCCTTGACATGATGACTGATGTCTATTTCCTTCACGATACCTTCTTCCTGCAAAGGGAAAAACAAAACAAAAAAATCCCCAAATCAGAGCCATTATCCTAAGGAAACATACTTTTAATTAAAAGCTTGTCTTCTGTGATGCTACAATCATATAGCAAATTTTGAAAACAGAAACAAATGCTTGTCTAAATATTCCACGTGCCTGTTGCCAGCTGGGAAGGGTAATTGTCAGGACATCCAGACCTGGTACTTCTGTTTATTGAGCCTCAAGATATGGCTAGATAAAGACAGATTATACAAGCTGAAGCCAAAAATAAACTGCAGAGCTTGGTGTGCCCATCAGAGACCTTGCTAGCAGAGTGGCTTGTACTCAAATCTGCACTAGAGAGGCTCCATCACACTTCTCTCCACATATTTTCACAGCTTCCCCTCAAAGCATCATTTAAGTTAAACTTAAAAAGCTCCCTTAGTCTTAAGCAGCAATCCTTCTAATGAGTAGGTAATGAAGAAAATACATTGCTGAAAGAACCTCTTCCTATTTATCTCAAAAACTGGGGAGTTACTACTGGTAACCATTTAAACAGAAAACAAATTAATGATTATATGTGAAATGACGTGGTGGTGCGAGAAAATTGACACACACTTTATTGCTTGCATGAGTTAGTTTTATACGCTATGTATTTGTTCAGATTCTTTTGTTAAAATCTTTCCTCTGTCAATAGATGCACATTCCTCAAAGACATCAGTTGAACTAGGACCTTCATCTTGCAAGCTGTGACATATGGCATTAGTTTCAGTTTTTTCTTCCATGTTGTTTTGGCGTGTTCCTCTACAAAGGAACTGGGTCATGTGAGACCCAGAGGGACTACACAGAGTTTGCAGCAACCCAGAAAGTCACTGAGCTGAAAAGAAACCTGGAAGAAAGAACCTGCTTCTCAAGGACACAAAGATAAGGAAAGATAATAATTACACACCCTTTTATTTCTGTAGTGTTTTGTATACCTACATTTGAGGGTTTCGGTTTGTTTGGTTGGGGTTTTTTTCAAACTATTTGTTCTAACTTCTCCACAACAAAAATATGGATTTTCATTACAAACATTTTTTTTTTCCATCTCCCAGTTTGAAGGGACTTACTTATTTAGGAATAAGTTTGACTATTTGTGCACCCAGCAGAAATAATTGGAATCTCACAAACATTTTTACATGGACTTTTCCAGCAATTTTCCTTTCTCCCCCCAAAAAATCTTTATAAGACCCAGTAATATAACATTTATTCCCCACTCTTAAAAACTAATGTTTAGAAAACAGAAATAACATCCTAAAAACAAAAATGCATAAAACCCCTGAAAATTTTGGCCAAAACACATTCTGTGCTAAATATGAATAAATTTGATTTTCTTCTCCTGCAGAAAAATTGCTGTCACTTTCTACTAGCTGTAATTTTTCAGATGCATGGGTTGCATTACCCAGATTGCTTTCTTATGGGTAATATTGCAGTTTCATCCCTCCTCTTCCCTGCCCTGCCTCTTTACACTCACATACTTTGGAACAGTGGACTATATCCTCTTCTTGGTTTGGAAAGTTTCCTGTAGTTCATTCATGCTACCACAATTATAGAAAATAATCATCTCAGAGTAACTCCTTTTCCTTATCCTAATTCCTATAGTTTAAGGTTTGCCTGAAAGGAAATGCTTAAAACCAAAGATGTGTTTTCACAGAGAGATTGAAAGCATTTCTAAGTACAGAACTGCCAAGATCTCTCTTCTCATTTTTCTGACTTTAATTGCTGTGTGAGATAGCATAACTTTCTGATATTAAATATATAATTTTTTCAATTATTTTGTACTCCAGTCTGCACCATGGAGTCACTTTCAGCTACATTTGCAATTTAAATGATAAGTGAGTTTCGATTTGCCCATTCATATTACTCATCAAAGTCAAAGACCTACAACCCTAAGCATATTTCTCATTGTATTACTAAATTTAATATAACCTCTTTAGGTTCATGAAACACATTCAGTTCCAGGAATATACTGAAAATATTAAAATGATGAAAATTCAGCTTGCTGGAAGAATGCTTAAAAATTTTTTACACTCCCATATAATAGCATAAATAATTTATAACATGCAATAAAAACAGTAATTATATGCATCTTTAATTAAAAGATCAGGGAAAAAAAAAAAAAAAGAGTATTTACAGAAAATGTAACAAAAAACAAGGCCTAGAAATGTTTACTGGAGAAGCATGGATTTTAAAGAAAGAAAAAACATGCTAGATTTTGTGATTATCAAAATATAAAAACATTGGTTAGAAGAGGCTTCTAGAGGTCATCTGATCCAACAGACCTGCCCAAAATATCACTGACACTTGTTCAGACCAGCCAGCCGGATTTTTGTCCACTGTGGTTTGCAGTGTCTCAAACACTGAAGCTTGAGACACTTCCTACAAGAGATTATTCTCTTTGGATTTTTCCACAGTCCAGCCGAGCTGGCTGATCCACGTGCCCTTAGGAGGAAGCAGGATATTTTTCTAGGAAGGTAGGATTTCCTGTGGATTTCCTGTGGTTGCCTCGCTAGAAAGGGGCAGCAAAGCAGCCCTGAAGAAAAAGCATGCCAGCTGTTTTTTCACCCATCATCACCACAGTGGTGTCACTTGTGAGCTGTCCAAGAGGTAGATAGTATTTTAGCTGGTATGACAAATCCACTTCCCCTGGAGCAGAAAGCCAAACTGGCAGTGCTTGAGACTGAAGACAGACACAGCTCCTTAAAGGAAATACATGCTGGGGTGTTTGCACACATGCACCCATTTGCCTTGAATGTATTTCTATAATCTTATTACCTACTGGCTGCATAAATCACAGAATAACTTGTGTTTGTTTGTTTTACCTTTCTAGCAAAAAAAAAAACCCCAAACAAACCAGCACAAACCAAACACTCATATTTTTTATTTACATTCTTACATGGGATTTTCTCATTTGAAGTCTTCCTGTATTATGCCAGATATGGAATCTGGCATCATTTTTCTCAGGTATTGATGATCAGAGTGAAACCCAAACTGTCAAAGCACAATTATTGTGGGCAGGTCTCCCAACCATTTTGGTCTGAGTTGCACACTAGAAACTTGTTTAATACAGATTTATTTTTCACTGCTCCAGTAGCAAGTGCACCATCTCTGCATCGGGAATTAGCATAACAACAACAAAACTGAGACAAGAGAATCACAGTACAGACGAAGCCTGCACACTGAAGAAGCTGTTTTGATGGAAAGGATTTCTTTCTGGAAAAATACCAAACAACCAACTTCAAAACAGTGAAGTTGGTGGAACCAAAAGTGAATGTTCCACAGTTTGATCTTGCAACAGCTGTGCACACCAGCCCAGGCTCTTGGTCCCTGCTGTATTGTCCCACACTGCATTAGCAAGCATGCTCGATTTGATGAAGCTTAATATTTTGTAAACTTCTCTAAATATTTATGTTTTCACAAAAAGCATCATCCTGTGACAAAAGTGAGATGGATGTTCTTGGTGGCTTGCAGAAAGCACATGGTCAAGCAGGATAGAATAGAAGAGGGAGGGCAATACATTAAAAGAGGAATGGAGAGTGCTTCTCTATGTTAATACAATAAAGACCTATTCTGAGTCTGATTCTATGCTGCACTTAGGCTTGCATGCTTTAGGATCTGAGGTCAATGAAGAACTCAACAAAAATGTGGCAGGAGGAAATAAGAAATAATGATAACTCAGAAGATAGTTTACTGTTGTTTGTATTTTGTTACCAATCTCCCCATTTGGCAAGTTATCACCTAACATAAACCCAAATCACAATTATTTAACTACCAAGTATGGCAGGCCACACATTTCAAAACAATATGATTCATTAAGAAAGCATGTTTAAAACTGTGATATGGGAATAGTTAGGACAGGATGTGTCTGATAAAGATGAGGCCAGGTTTCTACCTCTGTTTCACAGTTTCTAATCTGGCTCAACCCATAGGAGAGTAATTTGTACCGTAGACATTACAGGCCATTCAAATGCTGCCTAGGGCAGGAAATGAATTGCTGGCCTGCATACAGTTCTTTGAGGACAAGTATCTACATTAAAGAAGAAAAAAAAAAGGATTGGTGCATTTTGATTAGACTCTTCCCAAGCCAGTCTCCAGAAGCTGGAGTAAAAGTTGAGAAAGAAATCTTCCATTTTAAATAGGTTTTAATCCAAGTTCTGGCCTCTACTTTCATCTGGAAAGATGTACACTGAGCAATAATACCATAAATGGGCCTGGTTGTTTGTTCTCTACTGTCAAATACACATTTGCTTTAACAACAATGAATTGGACCTACTGAGCCCTTACAGAAGCATGTGTAACTCACAGTGAATTTGCTGGACATTGTGCCAGGTCAGTATTTGGCTTTCCATTATAAACTTACCTACCTTCTCCAAAGGCCATATGGAGTTAAATAACACATTACAGTTTTAAGAGACATTGGGATTTCTTTTCCAGATCTTTCACAAAGGTGAATAGAATGTGTTATCTTGAATTTGGAATTCCAACAAGTATGTAATAACTTACTGGAAAATAAAACTATGTCATAACTTACTGGAAAACAAAAACCTTAGGAGCAATTTCTGTGGAAATCAGCTGTTAAATTCAGCAGAACTTTTTCTAGAAAGGGGAACTATAAAGCTCTCTTTAAAATGCTTTAACACTTCTCTCCAGCTCTAATATTTCATCCTACATTTTTAGTTTCTTCTCCCTAATACATGCCTGTACAGTTGGGGTCCAGCAAACTAAATGGGAAGAGATGAATCACAGAGAGCAAAGGCAGTGAATACAATCTACTGGATAGATTGATGAAGTCTATGAGATGAAGGTTCAAGTATTTGGGAGATTTGGGTAAAATTTTTTGTGCTACAAGGCATCCTTTGTGTCATTGATGAATCACTTAAGGCTTAGCTCAGCTAAATAAATGCAAACATTTATAGCACAGGAGACAACACTTTGAATAAGTTTACTTTGCAGCCAATAGAGAGAAGCAGGGACTTAAAAGAGA